CGGTATATTTTCTTTGGAGAGCTTTGCGTGAACTGATCTATATGCAGACCTTATGAAAACATTAAGCCATGTATAAAGTCGAATTCGTATGTACATAAGCTGACCGTCTTTTATGAGCTAAGTCAGGCACTACATTCATATCATTTTCAAGTCAGGTGTAACCTTTCCAATATTTTCAAGTTTCCTTTTCCTTTTCCTTTTTGTCTGTGTCTTTTGTTCCTGTTTTGCTCTCTTTTCACAATTTCGTATGATTTCGTAGATATGGAGTTCTAACCGGTGACGGAGACTTAACATAACATGATTAATTGAATCTGGACTCATACAATCCCAACAATTTCCCTTTCCTTGCCAGCAAAAAAAACATAAGGCAAAGTTGCACTACGAGCCTAGGTGGCTTACAAGGCCGGAGTTTAACGCTTAACCCAGTCTGTAGCTATCACTGATGAGGTAACTTGGAGTATTTTTAACCCCCCGCTCCCTCATCCGCAACTGAATGGCCTGTTAGAACATCTTCGGGGCTACCCCACAGCGTTATGTCGCCGGCACCCATTTATAAGCCAGAGTGAATAGAGCCAATTTGAAGTAAAGTTTCTTGTCCGAAGAAAATAACAATAACACAGTAAAGAGAAGACCAGCCAGCTCCCAACAGCCGACCCTCCAATCTTCCGACTGAACGAAAGTCTGCCGACTCAGAGGCACTAATTAATAATAATTATTATTATTATTACGCCACTACGCATCCACCATAACAAAATTAAGGGTGCTTATCTGCTACTGGCGATGAGTGAATTTCTAGTCTTTGAAAAGGGTATAAAAGAAACAAACAAAGAACAAAAAACAAAAAAAGGAAAACAAACAATCAAATAAAGCAAGCTCAAACTGTAAGAAATTACGCTTCTATTTAGTAATTAGTGTATTTCGTACTTTCTTCCCATGACCTTTTCTTCAAGGTTCAGCTAGCTTAATACGTTAATCAAACGGTGCTGTATTAAATTTCCGGCTTAACACACAAGACTTGTCGATATCTAGTTAGTTGAATGTAAACATATTTACTGCAATTCGGCACTCCTGCAATCTTGTGCTTGACCAAGCGTAAATTTACGTTATTCCAANTGGCGATGAGTGAATTTCTAGTCTTTGAAAAGGGTATAAAAGAAACAAACAAAGAACAAAAAACAAAAAAGGAAAACAAACAATCAAATAAAGCAAGCTCAAACTGTAAGAAATTACGCTTCTATTTAGTAATTAGTGTATTTCGTACTTTCTTCCCATGACCTTTTCTTCAAGGTTCAGCTAGCTTAATACGTTAATCAAACGGTGCTGTATTAAATTTCCGGCTTAACACACAAGACTTGTCGATATCTAGTTAGTTGAATGTAAACATATTTACTGCAATTCGGCACTCCTGCAATCTTGTGCTTGACCAAGCGTAAATTTACGTTATTCCAATATCGTGTTGCTTGTCAGAAATTCATCGATCGCGTAATATGACTTTCACCACCACGCACATTTCTCGCCCACTTCAGGAGCCAAAATTCAAGCTGGGATAACCAGAGCACTAACGAATAAGTTTAGTTTTAGGGCGCCGCTTTTTATCTGAGCTAGCTGCTGTGCCAAATACGTTTTCTTAAGTTCCATTTCTTGGCCTTGCCCGATTAATGCATCAGTCAATTCCAGCAGTGCCAATCTCCCCCGCCCCCAGGCAACCGCGGGGCATTTGCTCACGTTGTCAGTCCCGGGGTTGGGGCATT